GAGCATGCTAGTTTTGTTGTAATTTGTAAGTCTACTTTCACCTTTAATAAACATTTGTACCATTAGCTGCCCACTGATGAATCAAGGGTTGTCTAAAGGTGGTATGATGTTGCTTTAGAAAAAATATGCACCAATCTTAATTTTCCATACCTGTTTTTACATAGATCTCTGGATTGCATGTCCTTGTTTATATATTTAATAGGAAATGGTTCCGTACTCCTGGGAGTATGTAAACTCCTCATGTACAATATATACACAGTCTGTTGTGCTTATATATGATTTTAAATAAACTCCATTTGTAATTACTAGATATACTGCCAATTGAGTTCTATGGAAATTTTAATTTGAGTATATATTTTACATAGTTTGCGCTTATACTGCTTTTATGTACATCAAGGGTATATTGCAAAATTGAAGGGGCCCAGTGATATTGTTTATGCTACTAGATTGGGATATCTTATAGTTAACTAATAAAGTATATTAAAAATGATAAGAGTGGTATATCAAAAGGTGAGAGTACACATTCTCAGGAGTATTTAATATATAGGCTTGTTGGTGACTTAGTGATCAGCTTGGGTGAAACCGAGCTGTTCAATGAATATTTGGGTATTCTTAGCTAGGGTCAAAATGGGATGCTGCACTTGCATTAAATGAGCATAAATATAATGAGAAGGTGCAGACGGAGTGGAGGCTAAGGGCCTGTTTGGTTTACAGCCTAAGATTGCCACGACTAACCTTAGTCGTGCCACAACATCTTAGGCATGTGTTTGGTTCATTGCCACACTTGTGGCTCGCCATACTTTTCTAGCAACATGGCCCGCATGTCATAGGCTCAATTTTTTGCCAAATCTTGCCACATTTTGTTAGCCACACTGTTTGTGGCAGCCACACTTTGTCTAAGCTTAGTTGTGGCAAAGTTAGTCATGAACCAAACAGGCCCTAAGATTCAGAGTTTAGTTTGAATATAGCCAAGAGTATTCTTGCTAGGCTGCTGTTTAATAAGTACTCCCTCCGTCCGAAAATACTTGTCATCAAAATAGATAAAAAGAGATGTATCTAGAACTAAAATATGTCTAGATCCATCCCCTTTTATCCATTTTGATGACAAGTATTTCCGGACGGAGGGAGTACTTATGAAACAATGCCAGAGGGATGCAGCACCTAAAATATGTAGGGTTTGTGAGCTTGGAGAAAGAGATGCGGTCATCTTTTATGTACCTTTGTACTATTATTAAATGCGCAAATTGTTGGTTGTATAGTCGAGTGTGAAGTTGGTCTAACTGAAACTTAACAGTACAATACTGAACAACTGCAGAGTAATAACAGTTTTATTGCAGGAATTAATGTCTATCCTATCCTTTCTTTTATTTACAGAGTACATATGTATTTTACCATGCAGGTGTCAGATTTTGGGATGTCAAGGTTGAAGCATCACACTTTTCTTTCCTCCAAGTCGACAGCTGGAACAGTAATATCCTTGATCTTTTTATTTATACTTTTGTTTTGTTATGTTTGGCTCTTATGCAATACTCCGTTCATCTAGAATCATTTACTGATTCATTGGTTCCGTCCAACAAATGGCATATTGCCTCCTACATTTTCCTTGTTGAGCTGGTGTGTATCTGCTGTAAATAACTTATCATGACTGTATTTCCTGTTGGCCTACAGCCGGAGTGGATGGCACCAGAGGTCCTGCGTAATGAGCCAGCTAATGAGATGTGAGTTCAGTTTCCCGAAGTCATGTTGCTCTTCTCCTGTTCCTGCCATGCTTTTGTGCTGATAGAAAATTGAATGCTGGCATCAGGTGTGATGTCTACAGTTTTGGAGTAATCCTATGGGAATTAGCAACGTTGCTTGTACCTTGGAGCGGGCTGAATCCAATGCAAGTCGTCGGAGCAGTTGGGTTCCAGAACAAACGACTAGACATTCCCAAAGAGGTCGATCCACTGGTTGCTAGCATAATATCTTCATGTTGGGACAAGTAAGATAACAGATCATTTTGAAATAATATATTCCGCTTTTCTCAACTTCTATTTTCTCCTTTTGCTGCTACTTGCCTCACTAACAGTGACCTCGTCAATCTTTGGTGCAGCGATCCAAGCAAACGACCATCGTTCTCCCAACTCTTGTCACCGCTAAAGAAATTACAGCGGCTACTTGTTACAGAAAGCCTCTGACAATTTGTGAGACAAATATCTGGATAAACACAAAAAAAGAAGAAAAAATATAAGTATTTATGCTACTACATGACCAAGTTTTTCATGTTGAAGCCCGTGGAGATGTATTCAAGATCTCTGCTGTATGGATGCGTATGGACAAAGGTTCTGCACATCCTTTTGTGAAAATTGTATGCAGCAGCGCGAAGGTGGTGCTGAAGGAAGCGTAGCGTGTTAGTTCCAAGTGAAGAAAATGTGGCGCAACACGAAGTGCTCTGTGCCATGGTAAATAATTGTTCAGTTCTGTATTTGGAGCGGGTGGGGGTGATTCTGAGAATCAGAATTCACTACAAAGATAGGATCTTGATTTTTGTTGGTTCAAAACAGAAAATGGAAAGGAAAAAAAAAGGAAGCAAAAGTTCTTTATGTCCGCAAAAAGTGCAGGCTTATATTTAGCACATGCAGTCTTGTATATCATGTATGCAGATGTTACTTGGCATCTCAATCTCTATGAATGCATATTAATACTTTCAGTTATCTCTTTGATAAAATGCACCCTCTTTTATCGCATTTTGAAAATGGAGATTCATATTACCATGCCTTCTTATGTGTAATGATGTATTGATGTGATGAAAATAGTCAATACTCATTATTTTTCCAATCAGGGGCGACAATTCTTTTTATGGATAAAAGTAAACAGTCAGAATTGTCATGTTTTCCTGGGCGTCGCAGATAACTTTGTTTAATATCAATTTTAAATCTGGATGTCCTGCACTTAGTTATTTTCTTAGATTAAAAGCAATTCTTCAAGCCATGAGAACAAAAAGCAAAGCAGGAACTACATATAGCTCGACTCCAGATACACCTGAATAAAAAGTGGAACTACTTTGCGGATGATACTCTATGCACGATTTGGATTCCCTAACTCAAAGCTTGCCGGCTGCGCGGGCGTCTTTTCCTTTGCGATACTTGGGTCTCCCCCTCTTCGTGTGGAAGCTGAAATTAGTGGACTTCCAATTCCTCGTGGATAAAGTGGCAAGCAAGTTGCCAACGTATGATGGCCGAAACATCACCACCATCGGGCGAACGACCCTAGTCAAGTCCGTGATCACTTCCCAAGTGGTCTACCCCGCCACCCCTTTGGTCATACCGCCAACCATCCTCCACAACGTCAACAAGCTTGAACGAGCCTTCCTATGGTCCGGCTCAGAAAAGACATCGGGGGCCAAATGCAAAGTGAACTGGGAGACAGTTTGTCGGCCTCTTTCGTACGGAGGGCTTGGGGTCCTGAACACCTCCAAGTTTACGAGGGCTCTCCGGTTACGATGGCCGTGGTACGAATGGAAAGAGCCCAACAAGATGTGGGTGGGGATGGAAAACCCATGTGATGCGGAGGACCTCAATTTTTTCTATGCCTCAACCACCATCACCGTTGGTAACGGAGCGAGGACACCCTTTTGGGACTCTCCTTGGCTTCTTGGGCGTTCGCCAAAAGACATTGCCCCTCTCATCTTCAAAGCCTCCAAGAGAAAAAGTTGGAAGGTCAGGGAGGCCCTCAAGCACAACGCGTGGATCCTCAAGATCAAAACCCCCACCAACGTAACCGCCGAGCACATCACACAGTTCTTCACTCTTTGGATGCTTCTTAATGAGGTCCATCTTGACGAGCTCACCGATGATGAAATCATTTGGAAGCATACGAGCAATGGAAGTACTCCGCGACTTCCGCATACAGAGCGCAATTTCTAGGGATGGTCTTGTCGCCCATGGACAGGATGGTTTGGAAGGTTTGGGCGCCTCCAAAAGTAAATTTTTTTGCTTGGCTAGCTCTTCAAGATAGAATCTGGACGGTGGATAGATTGGCAAAGCGAGGATGGCCAAATTGTGATGTTTGCCCTCTCTGCAAGAGAGTGCAAGAGTGTGAGCCCCATCTCTTCTACAAGTGCCGCTACACCCGGCGCCTTTGGTCTCTGGTCATTGGGAAATTCCCCATGCTCGGGCTCGACACTTCCGCTTGGCCCTTGTTTGAAACCGTTCAACACTGGTGGGCAAGCACTTGCGTCGAAGGAATGCCAGATCGTCAAGCCAAGGCCTCCATCACCATGCTAGTCTCATGGACAATTTGGAACAAGCGGAACGCAAGAGTTTTTAAGCATAAGAGTGCCCCACCGCCAATCTTGCTTTCGTCCATCTCTACCGAGGCAAACCTTTGGGTCATCGCCGGAGCTAAGAAATTAGGGTCTTTTATCGCACGCGAGTAATCCGCATGTGGTGTATTTCGGTGGCGTGTAACAAACTCTATTCTCTCTTATTTAATGAATGAGGCAAAGCTTTTGCCTCCGTTTCAAAAAAAAAATTTTGGTCGGCGCTTGATCCGGCGGCTGTGCATCACTTGCCTATGCAGCTATATTCATGCATGGTTGGATCCGTTGCATCTGCATGGTTGGATCCGTCGCATCGTCCAACAATCATCTAAACAATGTCGTCCCTATAGCAGCGCTCAATAAAAAGCAAAGCATGGCCCAGAAACCACATAGCAGCTCCACGCATTCACCACCAGAGCAAACACCAAACCAAATCCCATATCCACTCCCTCAAAAAAGAATCACATATCCACAGCAGCGTTATCAACTATCATAGACTAGACAGACACAAACTTCTCCAGTTTCTTGTAACTAAAATCTGACCAGAACTCTCTTAATAGCGCAAAAAAAAAAAACTAGTACAACCAGATAGTATGAACTACTATTATATTGCAATCTCCTATTATCCATAACTTTTAACTAACAGTGACCAAAGCCTAAACAGCTCATCTCCTCAGTCCCGCAGCGCAAAGAGAATAGATCACTTGAAGCATTTCGCGTCCAGCAGCGCCTCGCCCTCAAACGGCTCGAGGTCCTCGATCATGGCGCTGACGCGTTCCTTCTGCGCCGCATCAGAGAGATCAACCTTTGCCCAGTCATAGAGGGCCATGTCGTACACCTCGTCCATGACAAACTGGGGGATCTCAGGGCCACGGAAGAGCCAAAGCCCCTTGACCTTGAAAGGTGGCTGGGAGCCTATCACAAGCATCTTGCCGAAGGCGTACTTGCGGCACAAGTCCATCTGCTGCAGGAACCCACCCACCTTGTTCATGGTCACGAAGGACACGGTGTTCTCCTCGTTGTACTTGAAGTCGCAGAACCACAGGGAGTAGCCCTCCGGGTCATACATGTCCCAGAAGCCTGCAACACAGAGAGAAGATGAGTAGCTTGACGTGGTTGCAACTTTTTTTTTCCGGATTTTACAATGGAGCTGACCTTTTATGGCAACCTCCCGGAAGTTGGTCTTGGTGTTGGAGTACAGCTTCTTCCATTCATCAAGGATCATTTTGCTTGGAGGAAGCAAATCAAGAGCATTCTTTGGCTTTGGTTTTGGTGCCTCCTCTTCCTCCTCTGCTTTCTCAACTGGCTCTGGCTTCTGGGCCTCCTTCTTGGCTTCCTTCTTCTTTGCTTCCTTCTTGGCATCCTTGGGCTTTTGCTCCTTTGGTGCCGCAGCCTTCTTTTGAACTGGTGGGACGGACTCTGCCTGCTTCACATCCCCCATGACCTTCTTCATGTTTGGCTGGTTAACCATGGTCCAGAAGTACCTTTCCACGTGAGGGAACACGGATGTGAAACTCTTGGTCATGATCCGAGTGAAGCCATGGTAAAGGTTGCATGCCATCACAATATCAGCAAGAGTCACGGAATGCCCAACAAGATACGTGTTTGATGCAAGGTGTGTGTCAAGGGCACCCAACGCTCTCTTCAAGGCAGTAATAAATGTGTCCTCTATCTGTTGGGCCACAAGAAGATTAGACCCACATTTTTCAATGTAAAGAACATACTGTATGTACATGATCACCTCATAGCCGCACTTACCACAGCAACATATGGGTAGAATCCTAGACGTGGGTACAGCCATTTTCCAATGTTAGCATCAACCTCCGTGGCAGAAAAGTCAATCCATTGCTCAATGTGCGCCTGAGCCGAACAAAAAATCTTTTAAGAAGATGCGCAATTGACAAGTAATGTCTGGAATGAATATCAAACAACACTCACGTATTCCATCAGTGAAGATCCGTAAAGTGGGTTGTCAGCCTTCATGCGAGCAACTTTAGGAAGATGAGAGAGAGAGAGAGAGTTAAGTACTAAATCAAAATAAATGTCCATGAAAGATTAAAGAAGCATCATTTGGTTGCTATTTTACCATATCGTGCGATGGCATTGCTCTCAAAAACAGGACCGTCAGGAGTCTCAAGAAGAGGAACCTGCAAAAGAAGTACCCACTATTAGGTTTGTTTTATTGCATAAATCTTGAGAAGAAGTTTATTGCATACCTTTTCGATAAGATTCATCTTGAGAAAGTCTGGAGTATGGTTGGAGACACCCATCTGAAAGTCCTTCACCAGCTCAACATTGACGCCGCTGTATTCAGCGGCAATGAGTGCCTTAAACGCATTCTTGTTTCCACTGCCAGCATGCAACACCTGCGCAAATACAAAAACACGAAAAATGAGAATATAAGAACCATGACAAAGAGTGCTAATGATACTGTGATTACCCCCCCCCCCGGCCAAAAATAAATAAAATGATACTATGATTGCATGAGAATACGAGAACTATGACAAAGGGATGCAATGATACCAACAAAAAAAGGGTTAATGAATCAATCAACCAAAATAAACAGAATAGTTCAGGCAAACTAACGAGATCACCGAATTAACTATGTTTGGGCAAGCCAACCCCCAATTGACCCCTTCTTGAAGGGAACAGAAGGATGACAAGGAATGCATCGCTAGCCAATGCAGCAGGAGCAGACAGACTCCTCGGTTCATCGCGAGTATGGTAACCCCAACGAACAATCTAGTGCCGAGCCCGAGTCCCGAGATCATGTCAATTATGACGGTAAACCAGCACGATCGCCAGATCAAGTTCAAACCACGCAGTAAACCACTCAATTAACTAGGCGCCCGAGCAAATCGAATCCAACGGCGCAAGAAAAAACTAAACTAAGACCATGGAACGAACAGAGTGGAATGAAGAAACACAGACCAGCTCCATGTTGACACGGCCCGCCGCTAGCCCCGCTCGATCTCAGATCTGCACGGGAGCAATCGAGGAGAGAAACGAGCAGTGAGATCGACGAACGATTATACGCCACAAAGCATTCAAGTATTTTCTTGAAGAAGAAACAGAGGATCCTTACGGTTGGCGCCCGCTGAGATCGCGGGAGCAGCACAGGAGTAGAGACCAGGCAAAAGGTCCTAGTGATGAAGGAGGCGGCAGCGGGAGGCGAGGTGGGCTTCGTGGCCCGTCTGAACGCTACTTGTATGAACCGAAGCCGTGGCGGCCACGCCTGCTCCCCAGTTTGCTGCCACGAGGACGATCGTTTGTTTCGTGGCTCTTACGTTGGGCTCGCCGGGACACAAGACTAAGCGTTACGATAGGGCTTGCACTTGAGAATGGGTTTTCAGCAATGAAACTGAGGCTGGTTCTTTGTTTTTCTTTTCTTTTTGCGAGCGGTTCTTTATTTTTCTTGAACCGGTCTAAGATTTCTTCTTGGCCTGGTTCTTTTAACACAGTAGAAACGCAGCCGCTCATACATACGCACATACACTCATCCCTATTTCTATGACGCACACACGCATATCCTACCCCTATGAGCACCTTCGAGAAGCTGAGCTGACACATCATCTTGAGATTGATGAAGTCGCCACAGACGCTTTCGTCGTCGACGGGAACGTCTTTCTTCCACTGAACGCACATTGCCAGAAGGCCTGAAATAAATATAGGAAAATGCGAGCACCGGCGTCAAGTCTAGAACTTAAACCCTGATGGACTGGGGATACCATTGTCCTCCTAATAACCATCCACCCCCAAGTTGGTTCACCTTTTTTCCTTGGCTAACACGTTTAGGATGTTTTTATTTTTAAGAACAAAGTGCAAGGAGCGTTCGACTTTAAATTAATACAACCCAAGCACAGACGTCATCCAAAAACAATACAGATCCAACATAGCATCACTAGGGTTTGGAACATGAAACTAAAACTTGGGCATCAACGTAGGCTCAAGAAAGACCCAAAAGGCTGCGACTACCTTAAGGGGTGGAAGCCGGAAGGAGACATTTTGCATCTTGCTGATCACCAATCACATGTCCTCACCGTCCCTTCACTTCCCGAGCGGCATCCACTGCTGCAGAACAAATTACATTTGAATAGACAATCAGCAAGGTGAGACGGGGAAACAACCTTGATTGTAAGTTTGTTGCGAATTTGCCACATGGCTTGTAAAAGTGCTCCGACACAATGACACATAACACGCTTAGGTGCACTACATAACGAATTCAGCAGAGAGAAAATCAGCATCCGAGGGAGGCACTCCACGCAAAGCGCGGTAACGAATATTTTAAAAAGACCTCTTAGCATCTTTCCACACCACACAAAAAGCCCGTTACACTTACCTGGGAAAACATCAGATGATACCGTGACTTAGGTGATACCATGATATAGGCTCTTGGAAGCCGTTGGATCTCAGAACCGACGGCTCCCGAGAGCTCTTGAACATTTTGCAAAAAGTCATCCAAATGTCTAAAAATTGCGCGCAAGTACTAGAGCTTCTCAAATGTCGTCGGATCTTAGGTCGACCAAGAAGCTTAGGTGATACCATGACACATGCTCTTGGGAGCCGTTGGATCTCAGATCCGACTGCTCCCGAGAGCTCTGAAATATTTTGCAAAAATGTCATCCAAATGTCTCAAAATTGCGCACAAGCACTGAAACTTCTCAAATACCGTGTTGGATCTTAGATCCAACGACATAGAAACTCATATCACCTAAGCCTTGGTATCACCTCAAACTTTCCCACACTTAGCTACGTCGGTGGATTTCGTGTGGCGGTTCCTAAGAAATTGCCAGAGATTTTTTTTTTCACTTTGAGAGGAAGGCTCGCGTCCTACCACCAGTGGACAAATGTTTCCTACCAATAATGGTAGTTACCACCACTTACGTTTTGCATGTTGTAGGTAATATCTGTCAAAACTGAGAGTATGTACGTGTAGTATGTAGTATATAACAATGTTTAGGTAGTATATATACTACTTTCCATGTAGTATGTATCATATTTTGAGTATACTCTTTTTTATGTACAAATATGTACGTATTTCACAAATATAATAAAAATCATGGGCTCATGTGCAATTTTTTCATGTAACTCATTTTGAATTATCTTATATATAATACATGAACATACTCAAAATGATAAATTAGTATATATACTACCACATGGTAGTATATGTGTAACGCCCGGATAATCTTGCTACAGTAATCCCACGCTAATCATGGCACGTCATCCCGATTACTGTTGCTATCCTCGCAATAATTCGAAACCGTTCAAATTCAAAATTCAAATTGATGAAAACAATAAAAGTTTTCAAATTTTAAAATAAAATTGTTCGGTGGTTGTCAAATATTACAAAGGTAATTATGGTGAAGTAAACACATTTTTATCAAATGCATAAATATTTTAAATTGATTAAAACAGAAAGGAAAATAAATTTAAAAAAAAAG